GCAGGTTTGGAATAAAATATATCTCTATTCTAGTTTCATCCGTAGAGCAAATGTCATCCCCTGGAGACCATATCACTTCGAACGAGACTATCTGCATTAGAAGTTCCAGACAACAGCTTCCCCAGCAGAGCATTCAATATTTGACCTAGAATTCACAATGGTGATGTCTTAGTTACTTGTCTCATTGCTGAGATAAGACACTCGATACAAGTAGTTTAAAGAAGAATCTGTCTTGGCTCACAGTTCAAGGGGATGCAGTCTGTCAAGGCAGGGAAGGTGTGGAAGGCAGGAGCAGCAAGTAGCTCATCATTTATGTTCATAGTTAGGAAGCAGAGAAGGATAAAAGCTGCCTTTTGTCTCCCTCATCCCTTTTTTTTTTTTTTCAGGTGCATCATGGCCTATGGAATAGTGTTGCCTACATTTAGGGTGAGTCTTCCAACTTAATCTAAAAAAATCCCTCATAAAAAATGCCCAGCTGGGCGATGGTGGCGCACGCCTTTAATCCCAGCACTCGGGAGGCAGAGGCAGTGGATCTCTGTGAGTTCGAGACCAGCCTGGTCTACAGAGCTAGTTCCAGGACAGGCTCCAAAGCCACAGCGAAACCCTGTCTCGAAAAACCAAAAAAAAAAAAAAAAAAAAAAAAAAAAAAAAGCCCAGATATTTGTTTCCATGGTGATTCTGAATCTTGTCAAGTTAACAATAAAGAATAACTATCACAGTATGAGCTGTTTGGTTTTAAGAGGAAAAATATATGCCGTGGGTTGATCTTTTTGTACTCTGTGAATATGTGTTGCCCTTACTGGTTGATAATAAAAACTGATTTGGCCTGTAGTCAGGCAGAATAAAGGCAGGTGGGAAAGCCAAACAGATACAAGTAGAAAGAAGGGCGGAGTTGGGGAGACTCGAGCCAGTTGCCCAAGAACTAGTAAAGCCACAGCCACGTGGCAATACATAGATTAATAGAAATGGGTTAATTTAAATGTAAGAGCTAGTTATTAATAAGTCTGACTAATTGTCCAAACCCTTATAATTAATATAAGCTTCTCTGTGGTAATTTGCGAAGTGGCTGCTGGAAATTTGGAAACAGACAGGTGGGAGACAAGGCTCCGTTTACAATATCAGAGAAGTTTATTATCATTGAACTTTTTAATTATTGGATTATTTTCAGTCATTACTTGCAAAGAAATGCTGCTATATAGTAATAGTTTGGCTTTGAATCTTGCTTTTATGCCTTCCTATCAATTTTGTCAAGTAAATCACTTCACTTTTGACAAAGCTGTTTCTTTATTAAGGGGCATACCAGACAGTGGTGTCTCGCCAACCCCACTGGGATGGAATGCAGTCTTACGCCATACAAAGCTTGCCTCCCTGTGAGTTCTATAGCTTTGCACTCCCTGGAGTCCTCACAGACCGACATACTCCTTTACTTTCTAGTTCATTTCATTCAGTGACTGAAGTGCTTCTTAGGTGAGAGTCAGTGGTGAAGGAAGGGCTATGCATTTACCCATTCTTGTGTATCGCTCCTGGCATCCCACACATCCTAGATAAACTGTCTAGCTCAGAATCCTCTGAAGGACTGTATAAACGTTAGGAAGGCATGGAAAACAGAGTGAGAACTCTGACATTTAACAGGGTGTTTTCTTCATTTCACAATATTCCAAAACACACCCTGAACTACGGAAAATTGAAGTGTGGGAGGAGTGGTGAGCTAAACCCGTGTCATCTCCCAAGGGAAGAAATTCCTTGCGTCTGAGGCAACTGTCATAAGAAAGTCAAAAACGCTAATCTGTTCACCACCCGCTTGTCTGCACTCTCTTGGAAACAGTGACGTCATAGGTGCTCAGGCTTTGCCCTGACCCATCTGAGCCGTTTGGTGAGCCAGACTCTCCTGGTGCATTGTGAACCTCCTGGCAAAAAGCTCCATGAGCCAGCTGAGGCTGTCATGCTCAGACAATGGAGGGAAGACTCCTCTGGTGTGGCAGCCCCAAGTACTGGCACACTTAGAAAAAAATAGGTGGGTCATAATGATGAGAAACAAGAAAATCTGGGCAGACTGGCACATGTGTGCCACATCACTGGGGAAGTCAGTCAAGTGGCTGTTTATGTTGTTAAGTAACATTTCATAAGGTTAAAATAATTTACAATTTGGCAAAATATGTCCACCCAAAATAAAATAAAATGACCATAATTTCATTGTCTGTGTAGAAAAAACATAAAATATTTTATTATTAATATATGACATTTAAAAATTTTTAAATTGTTTCACAATAATGGTTCATCTAAAGCATGTTTTCTCAGAAGGATGTAAGGAGGGTGGCTACACACACACACACACACACACACCTTCATCTATATATGGAAAATACACATGGAAAGATTTTTATGGAAATTCACAGTGAATTCATTAATATAAGTAACAAATATACATTAGCAATTATAATAAAAAATAAAGCATCTCACATCCCAACATTACTTTTTGTCTGCGTGTTTCTGAGGCTTAAGCTTATCCACCCTAGGTGACTGCTCTAAGTGAGCTCTATCCCCAGCCTTAGTCCCTTCTGGAGTTTTCCCACACAACCAGCCTATTTCTCTTTTCCTTTTCCCTTTATCCTTTTCCTAGTTAACATTTATTATCTAACTACTGTAGGCCAGCACTTTCTCTTTTCCCTTTCCAACTCTATAAAGCTTTTTGTGTGAATTGAAGTTCAAGGAGATTTTTTTTTGTTTTTGTTTTTCAAGACAGGGTTTCTCTGTGGCTATGGAGCCTGTCCTGGAACTATCTCTTGTCTATCTCTTGTAGACCAGGCTGGCCTTGAACTCAGAGATCCACCTGCGTCTGCCTCCTGGGCACTGGGAGGGATTAAAGGCGTGTACCACCACCACCCAGCTGATCTTTTCTTTTCAGATCTCAGAATACCTAACTATCTGTCCACCTATTCATCTGTCTACCCATCTGCCTAATAGTTATTACTGGGTTGAGCTCCTATTACTAAAAATATGTAACTTTTGGCTAGTATTCCTTTTTGGGGGGGGAGGGTGGAGGCATTCAAGACTCTGTAGACCAGGCTGGCTTTGAGCTCACAAAGATCCATCTTCCCCTGTCTTCTGAGTGCTGGGATTAAAGGTGAATGCCATCACTGCCTGACTTTTTTTTTTTTAAAAATAGCAACTCTTAGATAGATATTTCCCTTCCCAATTAAAAAAAAATCTATGGACAAATTTCCTGGTCTTAAATTATTAGTATCGGAAGATAATAGGAGTTGGTAAAGGTAATGAAGTTGCCCATGGAAAGATACATGAAAGCCTCTGTCACGGAGGCTGAGTACCGAAGGGCAGCCCTCAGAAGCATGAGGTGGTCCCTCAATAGGCCTATTTTAGAGGGAAACGGTATCCCTTTGCTCCCCCTGAGCTCTGAGGGCCTTTATTAGAGTATTTGCTGTTGTACTCAGGCCCTCGGTTTTGAAAAAGAAGCATTTCTCTCCTTTGCCTCTTACTGTACTAGAACTCCTGGAAGAAACAGACTCTTGATCCCCCATGGTATCTATCATAAGGTCTAACACAGAATAACTCAACAAATGCATTTTGAACAATCTGCTCTTTATTGAATGCTGTAGCCGCCGGTTTTCTCAAGAGACTAGTTCAACCCCATGCATATGCAAAGATCAAAGGATTCAATCCCCACTGTGTCAGGTTCTATATTCTACATTTAAGACTCAGTGTTCTCAAAACGAAGTATGAAAACCGGAGAACACTCCCCTATTGTTATTCTTGCTCCAAGAAGGCACGTCTGACACTATCAACGGCACTGGGTGGCATTTACAGTTTCTCAGTTGACGTGGCATATAAACAGGATACCAGAAGGCATGCCAGACCAAGGCCAAGCAAATACTGCTAACATATTACACCCCGTCCTTGATCCTTTTCCACCAACTGTGTTTAACTCTCTGACCCCCATTCATCCAGCCATTTAACCTCTGGAGGGTAAAGATTTTCTTATGCTGTCTGGGCAGTCGTTTAAATACCGCAAAGCCACAAAAGTTCCTTACCGAATGGAAAATTATCTTTTAATTTGCAAATCGCACCCCTTGTTAAATAAAAATCTCTAAATGACATCAATTGATAGTAAAGTCTGAATGAAAATGAATATCCAAGAACGACTGAGGAAGCCGTTGAAAATCTAACCGAGGAAGCCTGTCTACCAGATATGCTAAATTTAGGTGCTTCTGACAGCTCAACAAATTGGGACTCTCTTTCAGAATCTGAAAAACTCAACATAACTTTAAATATAAATGCAACTTCAACACTGAGAATACAGCCTGCATGTGCACACCCGCTGCTGATGGTGTAACAGGACAGCTGCACATTGGCTCTTCTCTTCGAGCGAGGTAAAGTCCACACACATACTCTGAGCTAAATCCCGCACCCTGGACTCATTCTCACTGGCACACTCGGCACGACTTCGGGTTACCCAGCCCCTTTTACTTGATTTCTTTTTTCACTTGTGACTGAGCCGAGGCAACCCGGCTGGCTTCGCACCCACGATCCTGGAAGACAATGACAGAAGAAGCCGGAGGCAGTAGCAGGCAGGTATCTGGAGAATCAGTGACGAGACCAGCTAGCCTAAGGTCACAGCCCCGCCCCAGAGGGATCTCTGCCCAGAAACCGGCGGGTCTTTCCCAACCACACCCGTGGGTGTTCGGAAATCCGTCGCCTGAAGTCACTGCCCGCGCTCCCCTCCAGCACCGGGCACGACGACCCTCCCCCGGACGACCCCGAAGCCCAGTTTAGCCGCTTGTCCTCAAGGTGGCGCCTCCCTCCGGTCTTACCCTCCCCCGGGCAGCGCGCGCAAAGGGCCCCGCCCCCGCCAGTGCGTGAGGGGGCGGTGCCGCAGACTGACGGGACCGCGAGCCATCCCATTGGACAGAAATCTGAGTGACGCGAGCGACCGCGCCTTCCCCTCGCAGGCGCCCGCCCCTTTGGCCGCTCCGGGAGGTTGACGTGTCGGACCGGCAGCCTTCCGCTCCGCCCCGCGGCCGCAGGCGCTCACCACGGCGAGAGGGGCGGGGTGGCCGGGGCCCACGCTCCTCTCGGCTGCTGCTCGCGGCCCGCCCCGCCGCCCCGGCACCCCCTCCCCTCCCTGGATGACGGTATATATTCCAGGAGGGCGCGGGACGCCGGCGAGTAGTCAAGCCGCAGGAGCCGGAGCCAGGCGGAGCCGCGGGAACGCCGAGGGAGGTAGGGGGCCCCCTCCACCGCGCGCTCCCGTGCCAAGCGCGCGGACCGGGCCACGCGTAGCCGCACCGACCACCGCGCCGGCTGCCCGGTGCTCCCGAGGGGCGTGGGCTCTGTCACGGCGGGGCTGGGACGCGCGGAAGGACTTGGGGGACCCGGGAGAGGAGGCTGGGGCGGTGATGGAGTCCCCGACTCGAGTCGGCGCTGTTGCGGGTGGGCTCTCACCTGGATGGGGAAGAGGAACCATGAGGGTCAAGTCAGGGATCGGGAATAGTCGTGCCATATCTGGGGGTCCCCGGTGGGAATAAGCGGTCGCTGGAGTTGTCAAGGCAAAGAGTTGGGGGCGTTTTGTAAGCAGGAGAGTAAAAATTGAGAGCTCAGAGGACAGGGGATCCCGATGGGGGATGTGGCTAGCACCCAGCCGGCTTGCCACTTCCCTGCCTCGCTTGCTATTGATAGAGGGAGAGCGTTCAAATTTCAGGGTTTCCCCCTCTATTGGTCTGGTAGAAGGATAGGCCTGGAGGGTTGAGAGCATACATATGCTCTTGAAGATTTTTTAAAGTTTGGCCTGATGAAATCTGAAGTCGGGTGATAGTGATTATGCTAATATGTATTTATGTGAGGCAAAAGTAGTTTAGGGACTTGGAGGTGAAGTTCACTGGGCATGGACCCAAGGGTTTTCAGGGAACTGAAGACATTTGTCTATTTCACTGTTAGTTGACTCACTTGGCTTGGGGGAAAAGACTTCATAGTCTAGTCTGTGCTGTCAGTTAGTGGTTAGGTTCAGTCTCTGTACCGCTTTTTCTTTTACCTTCCCCCTCTCCCCGAGACAGGGTTTCCCACTGTAACACTGGCTGTCCTGGAACTCACTCTGTAGATCAGGCTGGCTTCGAATTTTACAGAGATCCACCTGCCTCCGCCTCCCAAATGCTGGAATTAAAGGCATGTATCACCACCGTTGACTTGGTACCTGTTTTCAAAAGGAGTTTACTAACCCCCCCCTTTTTTTTTCTTGAGGACATATAACAGCAGAGGTGGGGGAGGAGGAAATGGGAAATATTGAACATCTTTATTATGGCATTTAAATTCTAATAAAGGCAGCCGGGCACACGCCTTTAATCCCAGCACTGGGGAGGCAGAGGCAGGTAGATCTCTGTGAGTTCGAGGTCAGCCTGGTCTACAAGAGCGAATTCCAGGACAGGCACCAAAGCTACAGAGAAATGTTGTCTCGAAAAAAAACCAAAAAAAAAAAAAATCTAATAAAGGCATGTTTGATAATGGCTTGCCATTTGTATTGATTCTGATGTGTTAGGTTATATCAAATTTAGTCATAATTTCTAGTGCAGATTTTTAGCTCTTAGATTTTTTTGTTGTCAGCATAAAAATTCATGTCTTTAATTCTTTTCTCTGTTGCTATATACGATTTACTTACATATAGCTTCCTTGCCAGTATTAGTAGGAAATACTGGTATACTGATAGCTGTGTCCGGTAAATACAAATCATGATTATTATGAGTGTTACATAACATGTGAATGAGCTGATAGGATTTTGGTAACCTTTGTAGACTGTTGGTTTTCTGGGCCCAGATATCAGAGTTTACCATGAATTGTTCTATTTGCACAAATAACGTTTTCTCAAGTGCCTAAAGGGGAAGGGTATTGAATGACTCTGCTGTTCTCAAGACAGGGTTTCTGTGTAGCCTTGACTGTCCTGGAACTTGCCCTACTGTTGTAGACCAGGCTGGCCTCAGCCTTCCAGAGATCAGCCTGCTTCTGCCTCCCTATTGCTGGGATTAAAGGCTGGCCCAGCTCTAAATGGCTGTTTAAGAGTTCTACTGCCCAGGTGGTGGTGGCGGCGCAGGCCTTGAATCCCAGCACTTGGGAGGCAGGGGCAGGCGGCCAGCCTGGTCTACAGATTGAGTGCCAGGACAGGCTCCAAAAGCTACAGAGAAATTCTGTCTGGAAAAACAAAAACAAAAAAACCACTCCCCCCCCCCAAAAAAAAAGAAAAAGAAATTAGGTCATTTAAGAGTTAAAATCATAAACTTGTATCGGAGTAGAGTTGAGGTAGGAACCTGCCTGGTCTGATTCTAAAGTTGAGTGAAGGTTGCCATCTGATTATCCTGCCTGTATTTAAGTGAGACCTCTCCTTGGATTCTTTATATTTCCCCTGCTTTTGTGAGGACAGGGAAAGAGGATAGACTTGGAGTCAGGTATTTCTCAGCTACTGGATGTGGTGGTCCACCCCTTTAATCCCTGCAAGGTAGGCAATGATCTCAGTGAGTTCAAGGCCAGCCTGGTCTAAGCGAGTTCCAGGGCAACCAGAACCGGTACACAGAGAAACCCTTTCTCAAAAACAAAACAAAAATTCCCATCCTTCTAGGTACTAGTAATGTAGCCCGAGGCAAGTTGCTTATGGTCTTTGAGCCTCATTTTCTTATTGGTTGTGAAGATTATTTAAGTTAGACCTCAGCATTGAATGAAAATTTTATTTCCATTTATAGACTCAAGTATTGGAAGTATTTATGACTTGGTATAGACAATGAAATTAGGGGAATTTTGTTCCCAAGCCTGACAGCTTCTGGAGCCCTACATATGTTTAGGAAGAGGTGGCTCTGGTGCTGCAGCACAGTCCGTTCTCCACGCAAGACTTCTTATGGGTGCAGGAGGTGCAGGTGACCTGGCTCTCCCACGTGGCTGCCACCTTTTTCCTGTGGGGTAGACCCTTTGCCTTTCTGTGTCTGGTATGGCAGTGGATGAGCCTGCACCTGCTGCCTTTTGTTGCAAAAGCCATAGTGCCTTGGTGAACACCAGGTGTAGGCTCTTATCCTACTGTTGGGTGCTGAATGGTTGTGATGAGGTAGGAACTGTTAGGTGTCTCATTTCATAGGAAATGGACCTGAGGCATGGAGAACTGCAGGAATGCAGATAGAGTGTTGATACCCTGTACCACTTTGTACCATTCTGTAGAAGGAGAAGAATAGGTTGCTTGTTTGGTATCTTCTCCGTAGCTCCTGTTCTAAGCAGTTGGAATGCAATGAGGTTTCTTGAGTGAGCCTCAAATGAGCCCCTCAACCCAACTAGTCTGGCTCATGCCCTTGCCTTTTTCTCTATTTTTTTTTCTTTTTTAGTTAGCGTGCAAAATAATGGGTTTCATTATGGCACTTTTAGACATGTATCATTTTACCTGGTTCGTATTTGTTTTATTTGCCTTTTTAGTTCCCTTTTCCAAGTAGTCTTCCTTCTGTTTTCATGTCATACATATGTATAAAGGGTATCTGTAGTTAAGTCTAGATTGCATATAAGAGACATACGTTCATTCCTCATTCTACTCACTTTAGACCTGCACGTATGTGTTTTTTAAGTGTAGAGTCTGCATATGAGAGAAAAATGAAATATTTGTCTGAATTTGCCTTTCTTCACTGATGGTCACTAGTTCTACCCATTTTCTGGAAAATGACCCTGCAGATAGAGCTAGATTGTGAACTTTTTCCAGCCAGTGCCTATCTCAGATCTTGCATTTATCAATACTAGGTGTGCAGTAAACTAAATATTTCTTCATTCTCTTACCTTTTAGCATTGTGCGGTTTAAGATTTTGATTTGTGATCATAGAATACTCGTGTTTGTGACTAACAGGTCTTCATCTCTATTATGTGTGCTTACTATTTTCTTTCCAGTTAGGGTCTGTGGGCTTTTTGTTTGTTTTTGTTTTTCAAGACTGGGTTTCTGTTTGTGAAGGAACCATCTTGGAACTTAGTTTGTTGACTAGGCTGGCCTTGAACTCACAGAGATCTGCCTGCCTCTGCTTCCCCAGAGCTAGGATTAAAGGTGTGCACCACCACCACCCGATTAGGGTCTGTGTTTTTAGTGAGTAGAGATAATCATGTGATCTCACTTGTTTTCCTGTATAAAGTTGCTATTTATTGAAATACAGTTTTCATGGTTATAGGTGGTCCTATCCTACTGAAGATTGTTGTGCTCTGAATACAACAGTGCTTAAAAATGGCAAAAGGAGAACAGTTGAAATATGAAGTAGCAGCTTAGTGTTCAGAGGAGTAGTGCAGCCTGCGCCACTCCGGTGGCCACACTGCTGAGTTTGTGCTAGAGTCTCCGTGATATGAGTAGTGATGACAATTACAGGGGACAGAAGGGCTAGAAAGTTCCACAAGGCCTGTGAGTAAAATGCTTCATATGGTGCTGGCTCACAGTGCTAATTACTGTCTTCTGAGTATGCGCTTTCACAAACAGTGAGTGTCAGAAAGGCAGAAGCTCATTTCTAAATGTTGAGCTTTTAAAACTATTGTTGTACATAGCTTAATGATGGGGTTATGTTGTGAGAGGAGTGTCACCAGGCTATTTGATTACTGTGCAGGCGTCATAGCATACATAACCTAAGGTAGCTAGGATGGGGTGATACAATCTCATGGGACCACTGTCAAATAAATAGTCTTGTTGACCAAAATGTCATTGTACTGTGCATGATTTTTTAGTAAGGAAAATCCCCTCTGGTTGGAGCTAGACTTCTGCCTGTTCTTAGTTCCTTTTCTCTTTTTGGTTCACAGCTCTCACAACTCTGCTTCTACAAAGTCTCGCTACCAGCACACTATGAATGTTAATGACCTCAAACTCAGGTTGTCCAAAGCTGGACAAGAGCACCTGCTGCAGTTTTGGAATGAGCTGGAGGAAGCCCAACAGGCAGACCTTTATACGGAGCTCCAGGCCATGAACTTTGAAGAGCTGAACTTATTTTTCCAGAAGGCCATTGGAGGATTTGATCATTCCTCTCATCAAGAAAAGGTGGATGCACGAATGGAGCCTGTGCCCCGAGAGGTGCTGGGCAGTGCCACCAGAGATCAAGACCAGCTTCAGGCCTGGGAGAATGAAGGTACTGCACGGGCTCATGTCTTACACAGCATATTGTGAGATATGCTGAAATCATTCAAGTTGCTGGATCTTATAGCTAACACTGTGCTTGTCATACTAGAAACCAAGTGACCCACTAGAAGTGACAAACAGCCTTGCCAAGGTAGCTGCCGTGTCTACCATTGCTGATCTATGCTTTGCTTGAATTATTGATGCCTGGCTTCAAAGCTCTTCTCATGCTGGTCTTTATTTGGCCCCAGTCTCTTTTTGTCTTGAATTTAATTCGATACCTTTGCTAGGTTACTTTCCCCGAAATTTTGTGGCACACAGTAAATGTTCCAGTTTAAGCTGCTTTCATCTGCACTGCCTTAAACTGGCCCATGCCTGTATTTCCAGTTTTGTTTTCTTCTGCATTACTGCTCCCTTTTCCTATTGCTGCACATATTTTAGCTGAGGTGTTCTGTGATGCATTTTCTCCTGTGTTTATGTTTATCTTTAGCTTAAGTCTGACCTGTGCCTTTGCTTAGTGGGTCACCTTGAAGGTCATGGAGTTGTGCAGGCAGTGGTTCTGTTGCTGTGAACTGGCATTCTTAGTTTTGTTTGTGAGGTACTAGAGCTTGAGCCTAGGGCTTTCTGCATGCAGGAAAGTACACTGCGCTGAGCTATAGATCTAGACAGGGTCTTGGTAGTTGCCTGCTGGTTTTGTGCTCACTCTGAAGGCCAGGAAGACTTTGAATTTGCAGCCCTTCTGCCTCAGCCTCCTAAGTAGCTGGAGTTACATACCCAACTCTTACATTCATTTTTCTTTAAATTTTTTTCCTTTATTATAAATAACAACTTGTGACCAACACTCTAAACAAAGACAAAGATCCATAATCCAATTTTTGGTGGGGAATGTAGGCATAGGTTTTTAGGTTACAGCTTGCTAAAGGTTAAGTGGATTAATTGGAAGAACGTGGTGTTTACCCAACAGCCAACAGCAACCTCTCCCAGCAGTCCTCCAACTTACAAACTTTTTTTTTAGATTTACTTATATTATATTTGGTATATATGAATGTTTTGCCTTCATGTATTAGGTGCATTATATGGTGGTTGGTACCTGCAGAAGTCAGAAGAGGGCTTTGGTCCTTTGGAACTTAAGTTATTGTTGGTTATGAGCCACCATGTGGTGTGACCCAGGCCCTCCTGCAAAAGCAGCTAGTGCTCTTAACTACCAAGCCATCTCTCCAGTCCCAATTTTCCAACATTTTAAATGTTCAGTTTCATGGTGGATTTTCAGAAGAGGGAACAGGTCTTTCAAATCTTAGCTGGGCACAGAGGCTCCTGCAGGAGGCTGAGCTGGCAATCACTCACACCTGGGAGTTAAGACTAACCCGAGAAGAGAGCAACCCAGTCTCAAGAAAGGAAACAAACAGGAAAGCCAGGATTAGCAGTTTAATCCCAGTACTTGTGGAGGCTGAGGCAGGAAGGTTGGCCAGCCTAGTCTCTGGAATCAGTTCCAGGTAAGCCTGGACTTCAGAAGTGAGACCCCCCCTCTTTCAAAACAAGAGCCAGGAATGATGTTGAATGTCTTTAATATCAGCACTTAAGAGGCATAGGGAGGCAGGCTAGCCTGCTCTACACAAAGAATTCCAGAATAGCCAGGTGTGGTGATTTGAGTAAGAATGGCCACCATAGACTTGTATATTTGAAATGCTCAGTCTCACCAAGAAGTGGGACTGTTTGGGAAGGATAAGGAGGTGTGGCCTTGTTGAAGTAGGTGTGGCCATGTTGGAGGAGATACGTCACTGGAGATGGACTTTGAGGTTTCAAAAGTCCACGCCAGATTTAGTCAGTCAATCTCTCTCTGTCTCTCTGTCTCTCTCCGTCTCTCTCTCTCTCTCTCTCTCTCTCTCTCTCTCTCTCTCTCTCTTTCTCTTACTGCCTGCAAATCAGGATATAGAGGAAGGTCTTGACTCCTGCTCCAGCACCATACCTGTCTGCTTTCTGCCATGATGATCATGAACTAAACCTTCTTAGCTGTAAGTAAGCCCCCAATTAAAAGCTTTCTTTATAAGCATTGCCTTGGTCATCTTGTCTCTTCACAGCAATAGAACAGTGACTAAGACATAGTGAAATTCTGTCTCAAAACAATGAAAATGCACGCTGGTAGGATTTGCTGAAGGAGGCAAAGGCAGGAGGATCATGAGTTTGAGGCCAGCCTGGGCTACACATTAAAAAAAACAATGAAAACAAACTAAAACCACAAAACCTTACACTACAAACATTTTACTACCATTTTATTCTTTTGCTTGTTTTATTTTTTGTTTTTTTTAAAGATTTATTTATTTATTATGTATACAGCATTCTGTCTGCATGGATGTCTGCGCACCAGAAGAGGGCACCAGATCTCATTACAGATGGTTGTGAGCCACCATGTGGTTGCTGGGAATTGAACTCAGGACCTTTGGAAGAGCAGCCAGTGCTCTTAACCTCTGAGCCATCTCCCCAGGCCCCTTATTTTTGTTTTTTTGAGACAGAATTTGTCTGTGTAACCATCTGTCCTGAAATTCCCTCTGTAGACCAGGTTGGCCTGGAACTCAGAGATCCACTTGTTTCTGCCTACCAAGTGCTGAGATTAAAGGCGTCCCCACCACTGCCCCGCTCTTTTGTTTGTATATAATGTTTATCATCAGAAGAACAATAAAACCCACCCAGAGTGAGTGTGTGAGTTGATTTATCGATGTAGTATTTCCTCAGGTGCTGAGNTATTTACTTTTTAAAAATAGTTGATTTTTATTTTATATACATTGGTGTTTTGGCCTTCACGTATGTCTGTGTAAGGGTATCGGATCCTCTGGAACTGGAGTCAGACAGTTGTGAGTGGCCGTGTGGTTGCTGGGAATTGAACCCAGGTCCTAAGATCAGCCAGTGTTCTTCACTGCTGAGCCATCTCTCCAGCCCCACATGTTTACTTTATAGATGTGAATAATTTTATAGCTACAGTTTCATATTGGTGACTTTTTGTCATCCCATCTCTTGCTCATTGAAAAAGGAAGATAACTGGCACCATTGGCACGCTCTGTACCTCTGTCTCCCTCTGGACTGACAGAGTTATTGATGTTTAAACTGTTCTCAAGAGCTCCAGGGAGTTCAGTCTAGGACAACTGTTTGATTTAGGGAAGAGGAAGTAGATTCTAACTAGGCAGGTCTCTAACCTTTCACATCTGTCATAGTTCTATTCCCTTCTGTTCTGTGTATTTAGTCATTCTCTGAGGCTTTATTCAAGAGTATTCAAAGGTTAAAGAGTAGCTTGGGAAAGACTGGTTTCTTCAGAGGATGCCTTTCAGATCTGAAGTGCTCAGGCATGGCTAACCTAGCCTCCTAGCCTCTTACTGAGAATTGGGCAGGACCAGTAAGGAGCAAGAGGAGAGTTTGGGTGATGCTCTGCCTTATACTGACTTTGGAATCACTAACCCTGCCCTCCTCCTGGCTTTCAAAAGGCTTCTCCTCCAAACCAGAAGTCACATGGGCTTCTTCCTGCCCATATCCCAGCTGCCCACTGGTTCTCCTTAGCATTTGAGGAGGGTGGAGTCTTAGCATTAACACCTCAGGAATCTTGTGAAATGACCACAAGCAACAAGCAGGACATCATTCAGTTTGAGTCTTCTTTAGCTTTTAATGGGCTCTGTAGAACTAATCTATGTTTATGGTCTACATTTATATCCACAGTTGTTAGGACCAAGTGTGGCCCAAGAGGGAGCAAAGCAAACTTCCTTTTGGCTCAGTGTCTGGGAGCAGTATTTATTTGTGGCTTTACAATGGGGTGGAGGTTTATTTTATAGCTGACTTTGTATCCTTCTCACTTAACCAGAAACTGCTGTGTGTTTGCACATTCATAGCAAAAGAAAGTTTCTGCAGTTACTAATTGGGAAGAGATTGCCATTGTGAAGACTGTGACTCATAATGTCTCAAAGACACCTCTGTTTTTTTCCTGATGGTGGAAAAAGTATTTTGTAGTAGTTTCAAAATGCCTGTTTATTGAAATGATAATGAACCTTTGAAACCAAGGGTAGAAAGTTGTCTCTTAGGGGTTAATATATAATCTCTTTGTTGACGAGAGATCTTACTTTAATTTGAGTTTTAAAGTGTTCTGGCTACATATAGAATAGTGGGGAACTGTTGAGATCTTGAAAGAGAAGGAATTAGAAGTTTTGGGAAGAATGGCATTTTAGTAAAGATAAACTGGGAAAATATGATCCTTTATTTAAAATGCATATTTAATTAAGTAAAAGTTAATCTCCCACTATTATACTAATAACTTTTCAGTGCTCACTCTTTTCTTACCATGAGGTATATTCCTAGGATTTGTAATGTTCCTGGAAGTGGGTGCTAGGGCCAGGCTGCATACCAGTACCTGCTGGGGTGTTTCTTCACTTATAGTACTGTAGGGTAGAAAAGGAACTGTCTTGTGCAGAAGAAATATACTCATAGCATTATCTCCTAATTTTTCTTAAATCTAGTATATCTTAAGGAAACTAGAAAATACTAAAAATGTCAGTGGGAAAAAATACAAATTTCTGTTGTTCCATAATCCAGAGGAAAATAACCACTAGTAATCTTTTATAGTATTTTTTATGTACATACACAGTATATTATTGTATAGAATGTTATGGATTTTAAATGAAATAGAAGTATATTATGATTATATTTTGAGACAAATATGGAATAGCGAATGCCTACATATAGTGCTTTGACAAAAAATTATATTTTCTTTTTGATTCATGTATTTCTCCTTTTGTTCCCTTTTTCCTTTGCTGTATTTTAAGGCAAATCCCAACTATTTTGTTTTTGTCATCATAGTTCAATGTAATTTTAAATATGTATACAATGCCAAAGGTGGTCTTTCCAGCCCACACTAATCACAGGCACTTCGTGGTTAATGCCTAGGGGAATTCATGGTAAGGCCTTAGTTTATAGAGATAGTTCAGATGGACAGAGATGTCCTTGACTAGTCTACTTTTTTGGGCTCAGCATTCTGGGAAGCAGTTTCAGTTGTAGCATGATTAAAATGTAAAGACTTAAGGTGGGTGTGGTGGTACATGCCTATAGTCCCAGTGCGTAGATGTGGAGGCAGGGGGATCAGTAGTAGTAGTTCAAGTCCAGTTTTGCCTGTAAAGGGAGTTTGAGGCCAGCATGAGCTATGTGAGCCCTTGTCTTGAAAAGCCAAGCCCCTCGTGTTTCAGTATTATTTCTGACGAGCTGGCTTGGATAATTTTTCTTTATTTCTGCTCGTCAAATTACCTGTTGATGCCCCTTGGCTTGTCCTGGAGTGCTCACAATTTAAATGGAAGTTCCATTGCACTCTGTTCAGAAGTACTGGTGAGACCATCCTTGTTTAGGCACCTGTCCAAGTTAAAGCACTGGAGAGGAACCAGTCCAGCCAGGATGTCCTGCAGGAAGTGTTTGACCTTTAACCAGGGCCACTGTAAACCTTCCGGGCCTTCTGAGCTCACAGTGCGCTGATCTCCCAAGAGATTTTCTCTAGACCTGGATCTGTCTCTTGCTTACTGTTTTTCTCTGTGTTAAAATCCTTCCTGTAGGCTGAAGAGATGGCTCAGAGGTTAAGAGCATTGCCTGCTCTTCCAAAGGTCCTGAGTTCAATTCCCGGCAACCACATGGTGGTTCACAACCATCTGTAGAGAGGTCTGGTGCCTTCTTCCAGCCTGCAGGCATACACATAGACAGAATATTGTATACATAATAAATAAATAAAATAAATATTTTTAAAAAAATAAATAAAATGCTTCCTGTAAGAAAGTCTAACTGTTGGGTTCTATTATGAAGAGGTGAAAAAGGATAAAAGGGGTGTGATTTTTCAGACTTTCATATTTCTGAAGACTCTTGAGGACATATGTAATACATATATATATAGCACACACACATATATATATATTTAAGAAATTTTGACACAAGGTTTTGCTGTGACGACTGAGCTGGTCTTGAACTGTTTCTACCTCCAAGTGCTGGGATTACAAGTGTGAAAAACCATGCCCAGACTGCTCTAGGATATGAAAAGTTTGTAGTTTCTTAACTCTTATTCAGCCAAGTACATTTATGGTTAGTTAGCTTTTTGTCAGTGCTCTCTGTATGAAATATATGCTGCTACCACACAGTTTGAAATAATGTATCATTGTTTTATACCTGGAAAAAGTCACTGAATTTTTTGACTACTTAATTTCCAGCGGTATCTTATCTGTCATTATAAGACAGACACTGATTTTAGCACTGCATACTAGTGGTAAGCACTGGAGCATGCTGTAGTTACACAGCTGGGTACCCACCCTTGGGTTCTGTGAACAACTACATGAACTACGTTTGATTTTGAACTGTCCTGGGCTTGATTCTCCTTACTGCCTTTCTCCTTCCATTTTTCTCTGTCCACTCATAGTCTAGAGTCAAGAATATAGAAACCTTTTGCATGTGTGTATTTTATATGTGTGTGGTATATGCTCATAAGTATGAGTGTGTGAACTGTTGCACGCATAGGCAGAGGCCAGGACATCCAGGTGTCTTCTGCTAATGCTCTCCCCCTTACTGCCTTGAGACAGAGTTCGTTTATGAAGTTCACCTTTCCTACCAGGTGGGCTGGCTGGCTAGGCTGGTTGGCCAGTGAGCTCTTGGGATCCATCTGTCTTCCCAGTGCTGGGGTTACAGGCATGCAGTCATACCTAACTTTTAATGTGCGTGCTAGAGATTTGAATTCAGGCCTTTCTGCATAGAGTAAATTCTCTTAGGTCCACAGAAAACCTTTTTATTAAATTGCAATATATCCCTATGAAGTCCTTCCCCCGACCAGGTCCCTAAACTGCTGCTTTACTCCAGCTTCCCAAGCGAATCAGCTTTAATGTTTGTACAGTAACCTCATCCTTTACTCAAGTGATCAGCATCTGTTTCCTAGACCCAGCTTGTCACTCTTCCTTGGTTCTTTCCATCTGTGGATGTGTACCCAGTCTGGTCATCCCAAGAGAGACAACTGGGATTGTGCCCACCAGCTGCACATTCCAGATTGAAATATTTTTATGTCTATCTTGCCTCCATTTAACAACCACTATTATTATATATANATATATATTGCAATTTAACCCTTTTTTGAGACAGGGTTTCTCTGTAGCTTTGAAGCCTGTCCTGGAACTAGCTCTTGTAGACCAGGCTGGTCTCGAACTCACAAAGATCCACCTGCCTCTGCTGGGATTAAAGGAGAGTGCTGGGATTAAAGGCGTGTGCCACCACCGCCCGGCTAGAAGAACAGTTCTTAACAGCTGAGCCAATGCTCCAGCCCTAGAAACCTACTTTAATGTGTTCCTTGAAACCTCTGTCTAGTTTTTACGTGTTTGAATGCATTGTCTAAGCTTTATTCTGTATGTTGATTATGGAAGTTTTGTGATACAAATGATTTCTTTTCCAGGACTTTCCCAGATTTCTCAGAACAAAGTAGCAGTTCTTCTTTTAGCTGGTGGTCAGGGCACAAGACTTGGAGTTGCATATCCGAAGGGCATGTATGATGTTGGCTTGCCATCCCACAAGACCCTTTTTCAGATTCAAGCAGAACGCATTCTGAAACTACAGCAGTTAGCTGAAAAACGCTATGGCAACAAGTGCGTCATCCCATGGTAAGCCAAGTCTCATGTGGAAACATCTGCTCTATAACCTTCAAAATGTATATAAACTTACTGACAAGGAGACACACTTCCTGTTACCAGTCTTCTTTGGAAGTGTAATTCTCTGTATATGTATATGGTGATATATATTATAACTATCTACATGGCCTCAGTGGCTTTACAAGGGATATATACTCTTTTTTACACCCCTGACTAAACCCCTTAGGAATTCCTTTTGGGTTCTATAAACCCTCAGTTCAGAAGCATCTTACTGATTGGTGGCCTGTCTAGAAGAGGCTTTCTGTTTGAAAACCAGTTTCCTGAAATCTGAAGGTGTTACTTTATTGTTTCTGATGTTGCTGCCTGGTGTCCAGTGCCATTTTGATTCTTAATCGTTTTTTTTTGTTTCCTCGCTTAAGCATTTGGGACTGCTTCTTTATAGAATCTGAAATTCCATGATAACATGGCATGGGTCTGTTCTGGGTGCACATTAGGCTTTTTCGGTCTAGCAGGTCAGGTCCTTAAGTACAGGTTGCCTGGTCCTTACTCCCCTCGCTCCCCTCTTCCATGCACACCCCAGAGATGAATGCTACTTTGACTTCTCTGCTGTGGGTCATACTTGTTTTCTCAGCCTCTGTAGCATCTGCGCACAGGCCCTCTGTCTGGTCACTGCCTCTTGGGCCCCACGATGGCAGTTCTGTGCTGCCTCTCAGTTTTGTTTCGTTTTCTCTCTGATCTCTTTCTCGGAGCAGTTTTGGAGGGCAGCCTGTTCTGAGGGGGAAGCAGCTGTGTAGTTGATGTCCCTCAGGGCCTTATGACTTCAGTCCCATATGACCAACCAAACTGCTGGTTTTTCTGTCTCCCAGCAACAGCCTCTGGTCCTAGTATAGATTCCCTAGCCTGAACCAGCATGAGAAAAGACTGGCAGGACAAAGCAGCTGCTTATCCTGATTCCCCTCTGGAAGATCCCCTGTCCCCCTGGGGGCGGTGTTCAGATCTGATTCCACACTGCTCTGCAGCTCTCTTTTGAAGACATGGTTTGCAAAATTATTTTCCAAGATGTTCAAGTTCTTCTCAATACAAGTACTGGGATGCTATGGACTTCCCCCCCCCATCTTGATTCCTGTGGGGGTTTTGAGGGATCTGTGTTCTATGTAGCCAACATGTTATTTACAACCCCAGTTTTTACTTGTTGAATTTTCCTTAGTGTTCTGTTTCTGTTCTTATGCAGAACAGTTTCTCACCTTTTATATTTGTATAAAACCAAGAATTGTGGCCCAACTTATCACAAAGATCAAAACGCCCAGAATGATTTACTTAGCAGACCTACTTATTACTTAGCATGTGTGATATTGTTAGAGGCTGATTTTGCGCATAAGGATTGATAAAGTTTCTGGAAGAAATTTAGCAGCTAATTAATGTGCCTTCGCTAGAAAAAAAGATGAGGTGAGTCAAATGAGGAAGAAGCAGGCGCTCTCGCAGACTGTAGCTTAGGAAGTGGACCCACTTTCCTTCGCCCTAACTCACACAGTACCATTGCTTAGAAAACTGGCTTTTCTTTTCTTAGGTATATAATGACCAGCGGTAGAACAATGGAGTCTACAAAGGAGTTCTTCACAAAGCACAAGTACTTTGGTTTAAAAAAGGAGAACGTGGTCTTTTTTCAGCAGGGAATGCTGCCTGCTATGAGTTTTGATGGGAAAATTATTTTGGAAGAGAAAAACAAAGTCTCTATGGCTCCAGGTTTGTTATCATCTGTATTTGATGGTTTCTTGATAGTAAAGGAACAAATCATTAACTTTTGATTTTCTTTTGAATGTATTGATTTGGCTGTTAAAAATATCAGGTTCCCCCACCCCTTCAAAATGACAGTGATTAAAAAAGTTGAAATGGATGGATCCAGTGATTGTACCCTGAGCAGCTTTCTGGATATTCATTTTCTTGTGTGTGTGTGCGCGTGCATATATATTCCCTCATATATACAACAATGTCTTCGGCACACTATTTACTGTAGTGGAAAACTGGAAAGCATCAGTATCAAGTAGGAGACTTGGCTAGTGGTGCAAGGCTACATTGCTTGCCTGGTGTGCACAAGGTTCTGGGTTCACATGCCAACACTGAAAAACAAAACAAAGCTTCAAAATAGCAGAGGCTAAATGGTAGTTTACAAATGACTTTAGCTCTTAAATCGTGTAGAGGTAATTGCTTAGAGACGTTAAATGTCCAAGAGAAATCTTGATACATTAAGAGAGTACGATGCAGAACTGTACACGCTGACTAGGGCCTCTGGCTTGTATATATGAAGTTAGTATATGTATGTCACCATTTGTTGATGGCTTTTCAGTTCCTCTGAAAGTACTGCTTCTATAGCCACACACAGTAAGTGACCTGGAGTGTGAGTTCAACTGTGAGACCTACATCTACGTGAGTCTGTACTTGGTGGAAGAACTGAAATCAATAGACAGTAAACCGGTGACCTTTGCCATGTGTGGGCCTCTATTTCATCTGCATTCCTATTTACAGAAGAATATTATTGTTTTGAGGGAAGATTTCATGTAACCCAGGCTGGTCTGCAATCATGTAGCTGATGGGACTTTAAACTCCTGATCTTCCTTCCCCTACTTCCTAAGTGCGGGAATTACAGGTGTGTGTAGCCACACTCTGTTTTAGAAGGTACTGGAGACCAAGCCCAGAGCTGCATGCATGCTAGGCTACCAACTGAACTGCATTCCCAGTCCCTACATTTCTCTCTCTGTAGAAGAGTTTACTGTTACTCTTAGCTGTTTTGGGAACTTTTTCATTATTGTTTAAATATTGGTCAAGATTGTTGAAAGAAATATATTAAAACAGCAATGAAAGCAGAAAAAGTCTTTTACTTACATTTAGTTTAAATCTCAATAGGTTTTTATATAAATCTGGCTTCTTAACAAGTGAATTAGTATAAAATGCTTAAATAGTTTTATTTTGAGATAGTTAAGTGTAGCACAAATAATAAAAACCCAGAGATAGAAATTAAGGTTCAAGCTGAAAGATCAGAAAAGCAAAGCAGCCAGCCACTAGAGGGCTCTTACCTCTGTGCCGTCTTCCTGCCTTATATTCCTCTCTAGTCCTGATATTAAAGGTGTGCACCACCACCGCCCAACTTCTGTGGCTAACTAGTGTGGCTGCTGGGATTAAAGGTGTGTGCAACCACTGCCTGACCTCTTATGACTGACTAGTGAGGCTATAGCGTTGCGTACTTATCTTCAGGTAAGCTTTATTTGATACATCATAAACAAAGTATCACTGTAGTTAAGTTCGTTTGGGATATAAATACTGGACTGATTTGAATCATAAATATTAATAAAACTTAAAATGGTCTGAAATAATCATTGCTTGATAAGTGTTATATTGTCCTGTATATTATAGGCTAAATTATTGTTTGAGGTTTGCTGGACTTATATTACTGATGTTACTCTATGCATAATTATACTAAAAAGCCTTCAAAATAGCTTTGTGCTGTAACTTTTGATACCTGAACTCAGTGCTTATTCAGTTTTTAATTTTTTAAAACTGTTATGAAAACCATCCCAGTAAATCTTCTGGTTCCCTTCACAGTAGGTCATGGTATGCTACTAGTGGGATATTTTCTTTTTCAGATGGGAATGGTGGTCTCTACCGGGCTCTTGCAGCCCAAAACATTGTGGAGGACATGGAGCAAAGAGGCATCTGGAGTATTCACGTCTATTGTGTGGACAACATACTGGTAAAAGTGGCAGACCCACGGTTCATTGGATTCTGCATTCAGAAAGGAGCAGACTGTGGGGCAAAGGTAATGCGAATGACCATTCTGTCAGTCATAGATGGGGGTAGGAATAAGACAGTCAGAAGAGACCTGAAGATTTCAGGAGATTTGAAAATATTGATATAAAACACTTTTTATCTGAAAGGGTTTAAAAGCTTCTATTCTCAGCAAATAAAGCATAACATGATCATGTTAAATCCCATGGAGACTGACGAAATGATTGAAAAGTTTGGAATAAACATGGGAAGACGGTCAAGATAAAACACAGGTTCATTTAACATAATGTCCTGCAGAGCCATCTGTTTTGGTGCAAATGATAGGTTTTTTGTTTTACGTGTGATCCACTAATGTGGTGTGTGTACGGCTAGCATTTGCTCTGTTCACCCACTGGAGAGTATCCGGGTTAATCTATATTTTAGCTGTCATGAACAGTGCAGCAATAACACAGGAACACAGAATAACCTTGAGACGCTGACTGCAGTTCTTTTGGACCTGTATGCAGTGGCGCTAGAGCTGGAGCACATGATGAGTTCACTTGTGGTTTTTATAAGGAATTTCATATTGCTTTGCATAGTTTTTGTGCAGAATTTATGTTTCTGCCAACAGTGTGTAAGAGTTTCCTTTCTAGGCTCTAGAAAGATAGCTTGTGGTTATGAGCACTCGCTGTTCTTCCAGAGGACCTGGATTCCCTTCTCAGAACTCACCTGTCTGTCCGCTCACAGCTGTCTATGACTCCAGTTCCTGGGGATCCAGTGCCCTCTTCTGGCCTCTGTGGGGAATGCATACAAACCTGCAGGCAAAACATCCATAAACAAAATAGATTTTTTTAAACGTTACCCTTTCTATATATCACTTTTTCTTTTTTTGATGATATACATCTTAACTAGGCTGACTATAAAGTAATAACAAAGAGGAGGAAATTCTAATAACCCCAATTTGACCATTACACATATATAGTTATCGAACTATACTATATTATAAACATAATCATAATAATTTAAAAATGAAGCAAATTGAAAAAATAGAGCATTTCAAACTGTATAATGAGGAAACTGGCTAAGTAAAACTCCTCTCTCCTTCAAAAATCACCCCAAACGGACATGTAATTAAATATAAATATAAATGTTAAACTATAAAGATGTTAAACTGTAGAGTGTGTGTGATTTTGATGTAAAAGTAGAGACACATGCTCTGACCAAAAGTGAATCACATATGAATTTGAAATGTTTATTAGAAATGAGACCTCAGAGACATACCATAATCTTGGTTAAAGGATTTTCTATTATAAAAAAAAAGTCATTTCTCACCACATTAGTTTAAAAGTATAATAAGTCATATTCAGAAGCTGAAGTCCTCAATTTAGCAAAACAGGGTTTGGGAGATTGACGTGAAAGGTCTAACAAGACACTTCCTTCTTTGAGATAGGGTATTGCTGTCAGCTGAGGCTTACCTTCCTAAGGGGCTGGAATTATAGGTAAAGAACCACACAAGACTCTCTGGCTCTGAAGAGAATAATGGATGTAGTTAATCTATTTAAGGCATCTGTCTAATCAGATACTCAGTAGCACATGCTGTGTGCTATAGCTACCGAGTCGTAATTGAAACAGCATATTAATTTAAGTAGCTACCAAGCTTGAGAACCATCAAAGCCAAACAGTGTCTTTCTGACTTTGCTCCACTTGGTGTCACTCTTCTCTCTGAAATAGAAATGTAATCTCTACTGCTGTACGCTTCTGTCAGTGGAAAGATTACGCTACCAGAGTAGACGTAGAAGGGGCATCCAAGGTGATCTCCTTAGCCCATTTGATTCAAGACATTGTCAGTCTTTGTTCAGACACTCTCCAAGTCCCAGATTAAGGGTCTTTAATAGTGTCTGCAGAAGCAGGGCTAGAAATCCATGTTTCCCGACCCCTATGCTCACTTCCATTCCACAAGCCCATGTGGAGAGTCGCCTGTGTTTCCTGGCAGCTTAGGAACTGCAGACTGGTGTGCTGACTTTGTGAGTGTCACACAGAGATGGGAATGCCACTTGTCTGTTAGCTGTGCCTGCGGCCAGAGTCCAGCTGTGTCTTCTGTACACTACTCACCACTTGTTCAGGTCTGTCATCTGAGACTATAATCATTCAGGGAATGGACAAGAATTCAGGAGGAGTGAAGCTAAGGCTAGACTGACACAGCTCTAGTGTTTTAGAAATGCTAGCAAATACTGCTTTCCCTAGCTTTGTATTTTGAGGTGTAAGTTCACCTCTGATTTCCAGGTGCAGGGATTATAGATATATGCCACTTGGCTAGCCTTTTTTTAATAAGACAATTAAGGTATTAAAATATATTTTGACATATTCTTTTTGTTATGTTTTTGCTATTTAAATAGGTTTTAATTTTAAATATATTTTGATCATATTGCTCCTCTCTCAAGTCCTTCCAGAACCTCCCCTCCTTACACACCCAACTTTTAAGTTCTTTCTTTAAAAAAAAAAATACAACAACAAAACCCCCAAAATCAAGAAAACAAAATAAAATACCACTCAAAAAGAATACAAACAAAAAACCCATCGGCCTGTAATCGAATAAAAGCACCCCCCCGCCAAAGCCCCTGTGAAATCCATTATATGTTGGTCAACTACTCCTGAGCCTGAGTATTAACCTTGGAGTAGTTGGTATACCCAATGTCACTCCATTGGAGAAAACTGACCTTCCCTCTCCAGGAGGTATAAATGACAGTTCAGTTGTTAACCTTTACCCTAGTGGCTAGGTCTTCATTCTTTCATCCATCTGTCCATCCATCCATCCATTCACTCATTCATTTTTTATGCATATAACAAAATATAATAGGACAAAAACTGTCACATTGAAGTTGGAAAAGACAAACCCACAGAAGGAAAAGAACCCAAAAGAAGACACAAGAATCAGAGACACACTTGTTTGCACACTCAGGAATCCTGTAAAAACACTAAGCTGGAAGCCATAACATATGCAGAGGTCCTAGTGTGGACCCATGCGGGCTCTGTGCACGCTGCCTTAGTCTCTCTGGCTCTTACACTCCTCCTGCCTCCTCATATGCAGGCTTGCCTGAGCTATGAGGAGAAGAATTTGATAGAGGCATCTCATTTATGGTTGAGTGTCCAGAGGTCTGCTCATGGGTCATTTTGTTCATCTGCTGCAGGAGAAAGTCTCTCTGATGGCTGAGCAAGTCACTGATCTATGAGTATAGCAGAATCTCATTAGGAGTCACTTTATCACTACATTCCCCCCCCCCCCTCTCTCTCTCCTTTTGTAGCATTTGCTATTACCCTAGGTCCTTGCACTATCTAATTTCAGGTTCTTGGTCACTCCAGCAGTGTTGATTATGGGTTCCATCTTGTAGATTGGTCCTTAAGTCAAATCAGTTATTGGTTGGTTACTCCCAAGAGCTCTGTGCAACCATTGCCCTAGCATATGGTAGTAAATTTATTTATAGTACTTTGTAGCTTCTTTTTTTATCTTGATGCATTAAATATTCTTTTATGGAGTGGCAAACTTGAAGACTGAGGTAGTTTATAAAAAAGCACAAATACAAAAAGTAGGAACCATTATTAATGGATACTATTTTGTGAAATAATTACAGTAATTGTGTTATCTTAGACTCTTGCTTTTCAGAACATTATAAACAATTGACAGCTCTCTTAATTTTTATTTTTTATTTTTTTAGAGAGAGGGTTTCTCTGTGTAACAGCCCTAGCTGTCCTGGAACTAGCTCTTGTAGACCAGGGTAGCCTCGAACTCACAGAGATCTGACTGCCTCTGCCTCCTGAGTGCTGGGATTAAAGGTGTGCGCCACCACTGCCTGGCCAGCTGTCTTAGTTTTTATAAATTAAATAGAGGTTTTCTGTATAGTACAGCTGTCTTTCAATATGACGCAGTTGACAATTTTGTAATTTAGAGTTTTATACTAATAATGTGAACAATGTAAAAGAATATGATTATTTTTATCTCTCATGGCTGGTTGGATATAAGGGTGCATTGTGGTGACTGGAAAATAAACCTCACATGCATTTAAAAACTGGAAATTCTCTGCCTAGTAAGGCATCTGTTGTAGGGTGTGGGAAGTGAGGGTGGCGAGAGGTTGATTGACAGGAATTACAAACAGCCTTGATTCACTACAGCAGACAGTTGACTACACAGACACTTCCATGTACAGGACCCTCTCGGTGCAGCCAGACTCTGCCCCTGCCTCTAATTGCTGTGTAAATGAGGTCCTCAATGGTGACTTTAGTTCCTTGCCGGAGACCAGGACTGGTCTTGTGTATTTTAAGAAGTCAATAGCTGAAGTAGAGGCTTAAGCTTACTGGTAATATTTCATATAGACTTAGGGTATACTTTTCAGACTGGGACAGGTTTTTAAAAACTCTGCCGGCAAGCGGTAGTGGTGCTGCATGCCTTTAATCCCAGCACTCTGGAGGCAGTAGAGTTCTAGGCCAGCCTGGTCTACAAAGTGAGTTCCAGGACAGCAAGGACTGATACACAGAGAAAGCCTGTCTTGAAAAACAAAACAAAAGAAACAACTCATTCTGCTACACACTGCTACACACAAAACAAGGCCGTCAAATAATTCTTACTTGATTCTTGTACGGGCTATTCATCACCTCATCTGAACATTTAATTATAACTAATTATCACTTTGCAGTCCCTCTGCCTCAGCTTCTATTACAGCGGTATAACCCACCACAAGTCAGTTTGGAATGTTGATTTTATTAGTGCAATGTGGAGTTGGTCCATAGTTTCCAGGTGTGTGTCTGGGTCATGTTGATACCTAGGGTAGTAATAGGTCAGGCTCATCTGAGGGATTTTGAGAACTGCATGTTCTTATCTTTGTCCTTGGATTTGATAGACACTTCCTCACTTCCTCTGTCAGCTTAGAGCCAAATGAGCAAGTCACTGGTTTTCATATAATGTAAAGGCCTAGACTCCTGTAGTTCAAGTGAGGTCCAGCACAGAGTGGGTGAGTGTGGGCTGAGTCTTCAGGTTGGAGTTGGTGGAGCCGGGTTTCCTCCCGCTTTCACCTTCCTAGTTCCTATCCGGGTTCTGAAAAACAAGGAAAAGACTTAATTGTTGACTGGAAATTCAAGAAACAGAATTCAAATGAAGTAATCTGGGCAGCTTAAAGTGAGAAAGAATGCCTTCCGTGCATCTGTTGTGGTCGGATTCCCAGAGAAATTAATTTATTTTCCAAGTACTTAAGTGTGGTTAAGGGTAAATTAAATTAGAAATGCAAGGTATTTGGGGGAAATCAGCTGTTCATCTAGTTATTTCCCGTCCTGGTTTCCTCTGGGCCGGATGTAGGTAGTGGTGCTTTTGCTCTGGTAAGTAGGAAGGACACGGTGTCCCTGATTTCTGGTTGGAAAGAAGTCTGTCAAAGATAGTTTTTTTTTAAGCTTAAGCTTTCTCTTGGGTTGTATTTAAAAATGGCATATGTAAAATGTAAAGTTAGCCTTTCGTGTGCATGTCTCCAAAAGAACCTTTAATTAATATTTTTTTTTTTTTTTTTTTTTTTTTTTTTTTGNTTTTTTTTTTTTTTTTTTTTTTTTTTGCTTTTGCCTTTCCTTGATGGGCAGGTGGTAGAGAAAACAAACCCCACAGAGCCAGTTGGGGTGGTTTGCCGAGTGGACGGAGTCTACCAGGTGGTAGAGTACAGTGAGATTTCCCTGGCAACAGCTCAGAAGCGGAGCTCGGATGGACGCCTGCTGTTCAACGCAGGGAACATTGCCAACCATTTCTTCACTGTCCCGTTCCTGAAAGATGTTGTCAAGTAAGAACACAATAGGGACCCTCAACTTGTCTGTTTTAGTTGTTGTTAGAGACTGAACCTTTGGGAAGGTCGGCAGAAACCCCAAGTTCCACTCCACAGAACTCATTTTCTTGAGAATCTGTTCTCAGAAAACGCCTCACTTGTGACTGCTTCTCCCGAACTGTTTCAGGTGCTGGGTGTGGGCTGTTCCCTGTGCATCGTCCCCCTGCCACCAAGGGAGCCTCCTGCCTCCGGTGCTAGGACTGGGGCTGGGTGTGCACTGCCATGGCTAGCTTTGCTTTTGTTTTCTTTAATGTAAAATCATCTGAATATAACTGGGGAATCCAGTTAGATGGTTTTTACATATGAACTGAAACTTAATAAATGTTCTTCACTCTGAAAACCTCAGGGTTACTTATTGATACACTTGTGCCTGAGTATTTTCAGATTTCTTTTCTCTTTTAAATTGAATTTTAAAGTGATTAAATCTTTTTCTTCCTTTTATTTCTCAGTGTTTATGAACCTCAGTTGCAGCACCATGTGGCTCAAAAGAAGATTCCATATGTGGATTCCAAGGGGCACTTAATTAAGCCAGACAAGCCAAATGGAATAAAGATGGAAAAATTTGTCTTTGACATCTTCCAGTTTGCAAAGTACGCTTTGAATAGCACCATAAGACCAAATATATGCCTTGAAATGCCGCTTTTTCCTGTTAGCTAAAAAGCTGTGCTCAGGAATCCCCCGAGAGTGTCTTATTTCCTCCAGACGTCTTGATCACGAGCGTGTAGTCTAAATTCATTATCACTCTCCAGTCTAACGCCACTGTCCAGGTGTGCTGTGGTCTGAGTGGCCGGAAAGCACAATATTAACAGTAATCAGTTATACTATCTAAATCTGTTGCAAAGTTGTTAAAGCTGTTTGTTTTTTAACTCAGAGATGAAAGAGGGTAATATAAATAGTTGACTAATTTTGTTTCACCAGGTCCACCTGTAAGTGTGTGTTCAATGAACTCTTTAGACTAGATAAAGAACACATTGCATAATGAGGTATATGTTTCAGAATTTGGCCAATATGAAAATGCAGAAACAGTTAGTTGTATAAGGTCATTCTTATACAACCATGTGCCTTCTTTTCCTTTCCCTTTTTCCTGTTTTTTTGCAGACAGGGTCATGTAGGCCAGGCTACTAGCCAGGGTGTGCTTGAACTCCAGGTCTTTGTGTCTCTACTCCTGAATGCTGGGTTATGAGTGAGCCTCCTGCTTCCACATGCTTTACTAAGGCCCTTTTCATCTGCCCCAAATAGATATTATTAATGTGATCTTGGGCATTACATTTTTTTTTTCTGTCTCATGTAAAATGAGTGTTGTGGAAAGGAGTTTCTGTTCTGCAGTGGAAAAGTTCCATTTCTCTTTTTATTAGTGATGAGCACTGTTTGCAATCACTGGAAGCCTAGTCACTGAAGGCCTTGGGATGCTGGGAGGAGTCAGGCTGTGTGGGTAGTTTGATTTCCTATGAATGAAGTCTCGTGGCTCCACTCTAGGAAGTTTGTGGTGTATGAAGTGTTACGGGAAGATGAGTTCTCTCCGCTCAAGAATGCAGACAGTCAGAACGGGAAGGATAACCCAACCACTGCAAGGCATGCTTTGATGTCCCTTCATCATTGCTGGGTCCTCAATGCTGGGGGACATTTCATAGATGAAAATGGCTCTCGCCTCCCAGCAATTCCCCGGTAAGTTATGGTCTTTGCTTTTGTGTGTGTGTACTGCTTTGAACTTCTTTCTCCTGCCTGATGTATCCCAAGATCTTTTCTTGTTTATTTATTTTTAAAATATCATTGTGTGGGTAGTTACTGACGAAAAGTGACCACTGCTTTGCCCCTTTACAAAGGGAAGGTCAGCTTCACTTTTCCTTAAGAGGAAGCTCTTGGAGAGCTCTCAGTATCTTGTCTGTCTATTTTGAAGCATCCTCATTGTATCAGTGAAATAATTTCCACTAAATAATGGTCAGACAATAGTATTTTTGTATGCCACGTGGCTGATTCTGGGTCACAGAAGTTGTTTCTGCTGCCCTGTCTATTTTTGAGACCTACCAAAAACTTTCTCAACTACAGGCAGTCTGCAGCATTCTCTTACCGTGACACTAGAGAAGGTGCCGTGAAGGGAAGCAAATGCCAGTTACATTCAGTGATACACAAGCTTCAGAAATGTTTGGGTTTCAGAGGCTAGAAAAAAGGCACTTGGAGCTTTTCCAATTTTATATAAAGCATTTTTAATCTAAATCCTTTATCTTACAATAGAACTCATTGGCACCTACAATAATATCCCTTTATAAAAACCTTTTGTGTTTTTGTATTTAGGTGAGTTATCTTGCCATTTAATCTTTTTAATAAGAGGTAAAATCCTTGCTGCATGCACCAGAGTGTTAGAAAGCCTCAAACATTGGGCCACTGGGCAGTGGCGTGCACTGTCCCCTTACAGAATCTACTAGAAGGAATGGTCCTGGTTGTCTCTTAGTCAAGGCCACTTACAGCAGGTCTGCCTTGTTAATAAGCTTGCTCTGTGACATGTCACATTATTCTCATGCTCATCTTTGATTATTGAGTTTGTTTTTTTTTATTTAATTTTTTGACTGTTTATAGAGTCCAATTTATGATTTACCTTAAGGGCATGCCATTTGGTTAAGTGTATTTTGCACCTCCATTTCATTGTTATTATTTGTTTCCATTCCCATTAACGCTTTTTATTCCTACATAGCAGTGCTACAATTGGAAAGTCTGAGAGCATCACAGCTGATGTCAATCACAAGTAAATATACCAGCCTGCCTGCAGTGCATGGTGGTGGGGCTGTGCTTCTCCCCATACTAACTGGCACCCTGGTTTAGTGCTCTGTCTTTTGGGGTTCTGGAGGGGGGATGATTGAAGCTCTGGTGTGGGCGCGCTGCTTTCCTGGTGGCAGGTATCTATCTGGATAACACTAACTCCGAATCGGTGCATGCAGGAAGTGGGGAGCATGCTTTACTAAAGAATCTGAGCACGGGTGTCTGAGCCCATAGTGACATGCTTACAGGTGTTGGGATCCAGGACAGGTGACAGGCAGGGCGAACAAAGTTGGAGCCCAGTAGCATAAGCTGTGTGAAAATAGAATTGAATACAAACGCTTTCAATATGGAGGGTGACTGCTCCTGACGTTCAACAGCTTCTAATATGGAGGGGACCTCTTTTATTTTATTTGCGCACGTTTTGTCTTTGTTATTGTTTTGAGAAAGGGTCTTGGTTTATAGCCAAGGCTGGCCTAGAAGTCTGTTCTATATGCCTTCAAGTGCTGGGATTATGGCCACATACCGATGTGTGGCTTGGGTCACTGTGCTTTCATCATTGTGAGTTATTTTGATTCTAAATCATGTATCTTTTTTTCACTATCAGCATTCCATTTTATAGCTTAGTATATATAACCTGTCATCTGGTTACTAAAAAGATTTTTTGTTTTTGTGTTATTTTTGCCTTTATCTTTGTAGCTGAAAGGTCAGCTGGTATGTTTACTGCCCTTTAACTAGATTTAGAGGCTGGAGAAATGGCTCAGTGGTTTTTATATCTCATTCTTTTCTTAACTTTTATATCTATCATAGGGTTGTGCGTGCGCACCTCTATGTGTGTACATGTGCACGGGCAGGCTTCCCACAGTGCATATGTGGTGGTCAGAGGACAACAACCTTGTGGAACCCTTTACGTGGGTTCCAGGAATAAACTTAGGACATAAGACTTTAGTGGCAAGTGCCTTTACCCACCCAGCCATCTCGATGGCCTTTTACATCTCATTTTCAAATAATCTTTTTCAACTCTCTGTAGGCATCTTTGGTACTAAAGATTTTAAGTAACACTATGGCTTAATAAGGAAACTCAGAGCAAAGCTATATTTCCTAAGTTATGAAAGCAGTTTGTTTACATATTAAAAATAACGGACGTGGCAGAACATGATCAAGGGCTCTGTGCCCCAACTCCCATGGTGTAAGCGGCAACAGTCATCCATGACTCCTGGAGAGACCAGGAAGAAAGGAAGCAGGGATGTAGAGCTGACAGAAGGGATGTTTTTACTTTTCATCTTAACTTACTATTAGCTACTAAGAGGTTGCTGGGTGAGAGAATTAGGGACCAGTTTGTTATTAGGCCGCTTCACCTATAAGCTGAGTGTCTACATTTGGTGATGACCATTTCTGTCTTTCCTCCTTAGCTGTTGAAGTCCAATTTCTTGGTTTTGTCCCATTTGGATGCAAGGGCTACCACTACAGGTCTAGAACAGAATCCAAAGCTACAAAGAAACTCTGTATCAAAAATTCAAAAAGAAAAAAGTTTTTATCTTTTTAAAATTAAAATATACTTGCATCATTTTCCTCTTTCCTTTTCTCTCTTCAGCCCCTTCCCCATACCCAATACCCATTTGATTTCTCTCAAAATCATGTTAATATATGTATGTAAATAATCTAAATCTAAATACAACCTGCTCTGTCCCTGTCTGTTGGTGTCTCCTGTATGTATATGGTTTCAGGGCCAACCACTTGGTATTGGTATTGGGGAAGGCTTCTCCAGCTCTCAGCATTCCTTTGTTGCCGGTAGTTCCTGGTCTAGGGGTGGGGTCAGGTGAGATTTCTCCCCTTTCGTGCTAGCGTGTATACTTCTTCCTTCTTCAGCTTGTGTTTAGGCAGTCATGTTGTTGAGGTATCACGTGTGAAGCTTCCCTGTCATTTCTAGGAGACAGTCTCACAGCACTTCTCCTGTTTGTCTGGCTCTTACAGTCTTTCTGCCCCATCTTCTGAGGTGTTCCTTTGTATTGGAGCTCTATTGTAGATGTCTTAAGTGTGGCAGGACACCCCACCGTCACTTCTCTTTTTTCGGAGTTGTGCGCTGTGGTGCTTTCCTTCTGTTGCACAGAGAGGGTTCTTTGGTGAGGGTGAGAGCTGTACTTGCCTGTGAGCACAAGGGTGGATGTTTAGAATATAGTTAGGAATTGTGGTGGTTTAGAGAATGGTGGTGGTTGGTTCTCTAAGCTCTATATCCTCACTACCCTGTGTTAGATGGTGTTTGGCTAAATTTCCAGTTCCAGGTGTAGTTTTCCTGTTAAGCAGATGATCAGGCAAGTTAGGGAACTGCTGGTTACCATTATCACATCCTTCTGTGGTCCAGACTGGCCTCCTTCTGGATCTCCTTCCTCCACCTCCCGATGCTGGGATTGCAAACCTGTAGTACCGGTGCTTGATTTATGCAGTGCTGGGATTGAACCAGAGCCTCACACATGGTAAGCAAGCAGTCTACCAGCTGAGCTACATTCTGAACCTACTGTTGGCAAGATTCTTGATAACACATAGCACAGCTCTCCAAGGACTGACTATAAGGAAAACACTCTTGACTTAACCTTAGATTATCAAGGAATTCTGAATTCCAAATGTCTGTTGATACCAGACTGAGAATTGACCAATGATGACTTTGCCTTGACACTTTCTGCTCAGTACTTTAAAAGGGATTTTTGGTAACACAAGTATTTTTAGACATATCAGTAAATTAACTGAGCTAATACAGGAGACTTAGATTGTATAAGAAAATCTTGTCCTGGAAAGCCATGGAACAAGGAATAAAATGTTTTCTAACTGCTGTCCAATTTGGTTGTCATTACCTACTTGTGGCTCCTGAGCGCTTGAAATGGGATTATTATGACTGAGAAACTGAAGTTTGAAATTCTCACTAATTTGAATATTTTCATTTTAAGAGCTCTGTGGCCAACTGTGTGGACCATGCAACTCTAGAGTGTTTGTTAGCATTAGCATCTGACTTGCAAGTTTGCTTTGTGAGAATTAAAATAAATGTGAAGGGCTCAAGAGACCTAGCAGTGCACCTGGCACTTAGATATGTCTACCAGCAGTCCTTTCTTATGACCTTTCTGAAACTGGAAATGGGATTGTGTAAGAGGGTCGTATATACTGAGCTGGAAGGAATTATAGGTACTTGGTCAAGTATTTTGTATCTGACCATGAGAATGTGTTAACCTTAGGGGAATTTAGTGGAGACTACGATGCAGAGCGGGTTTCATTCTTTAACAAGAATTTTGTTACTTGCAAGCTTCTCAGAGGAAAGCTATGGTCTTATTTTCATACTAGCAAGTAACATGGGAAGTAGAATCTTTAACATGCATGTGTATTTTTTCTTAGCTTGAAAGATGCCAACGATGTGCCAATCCAGTGTGAAATCTCTCCTCTCATCTCCTATGCTGGAGAAGTAAGTTGGCTTCACTTTTCCTTCTGTTCTTTTACAAAGTACTGTGTTTCTCCAGATAGCTAAACGTTTGCACCAGCAAGAAGTGGAAAGAGTATTTGAATAGGTCTATATGTTAATTAGCTCATGTGGATCATGCCACGGCACATGCTAGTACCCTGTGAACACATAGTATTACCAGTTTAAAAAACCTCACAAAAGCAGGGATGTAGTGTTGCCCTAGGTTGCAGAGAGAATGCCATGTTTTCCTGAGGACTCCTCCAGGGAGGGAGGAGGAGCAGGAGGACCTGTGTCTGTTCTGAATGCTTGGTAACTTCTACTGTGGTCTCTATCTGTGGGTCATGACCCCTTAGAGGATCACATATCAACATGTTGCAGATCATATGCTTACATTACTCTTTATAACAGCAAGGTTACAGTTATGAAGTAGTGACAGAATAACACGAGTAACTGTATTAGAGGGTCACAGCCTCAGGAAGGTTAAGAACCACTGATGAACTACTTACCACTAACAGAAATCTATAACATATAATCCTGCCCATTAATGCCTATGTGGGCTTTTAAAAATAAAGTGTTTTATAATCACCTGGCTGCTTTTTAAATGCAGTCTATGGTTTTCTTCCCCCAGATACCTATCTGCTTTGTTCATACATTTAGCACTGCTACCTTACCGACCTGTGGGGTTGAAGGTTCCCTCTTGTTCTGGTTGCATAAATTTCCTGGAGTTTTTATAACCATCTTGCTTAGAAAATTAACTGTTTTTTACTGATGATTGTGGGATGAATGATTAAGACCTTAGTAAATGTAGAACTTGCATTATAATCACTTGGAAAGTATGTGTAGGCTCTGGGTTTCGGCCATACTAGTGAAGCAAACAAACAAATAAAGCAAAACAACACAAACCAAATATAAAGAAATTTGAATAAGGTTTTTGGGTATTTACCTTATGCTTCCATAAATCAGGTATTATATCTAGTCTAGAAAGTATGTGAAGTGGACTTCTCTAATTTTTTCTCTCCAACCAACTTTTGGGATTCATACTTTAACTCTTCAGTGCACCACCAGGCCAGTGCTGTGAGGCAAAGACACTTGTAGCAGGCTTTCTTCTGGGCCACCAACCAGCTCCCATCATGACACGGAGACTTAGTACTAGTTATCAGTGCTCAGCCTTAGCATATACTTGTCCCACTAACTCCTATAACTTAACTTGTTTCTCTTCATCTATGTTTTGCCTCAGTACTTTTTGTCTGTCTTTCATTCTGTGTGTCCTACTCTTACTGCTTCCTCAGTGTCTGGCTGGCCTGAGCTTCTCCCTCTTCTCCCCTCCCCTGTTCTCTTCTTCCTCTCTCTTAGATTCCTTCTCCTACTTATCCTCTCTCCCCCTACTTATTTTCTCTGCCCTTCAGCCCCACCTATCCCTCTACTGCCTTGCTATTGGCTGTTCAGCTTTTTATTAGACCAATCAGGTGCCTTAGGCAGGTAAGGTAAAACAGCAACACATCTTTACATAACAAATGCAACATACCTTTAAATAGTTAAAGCAATATTCTGCAACATAAACAAATGCAACACATATTTACATAGTTAAAGCAATATTCTGCAACACCTGCTACTGTTCTAACTATGCTTCTTTTCAATCCTTTTAGGGGCTAGAAGGTTATGTGGCAGATAAAGAGTTCCATGCACCTTTAATCATCGATGAAAATGGAGTTCATGAGCTGGTGAAAAATGGCATATGAATCCTAAAGTGAGCTCTGTCATATGGGGAACCTTTATTATTAATAGACCAACTGTGAACGTGCAGGACCTCCCTCTCCTGGAAGGCTGAAGTTTGGACATTATTCATAGAGTTTCATTTTGCTTGCTGGTATCTGGTAAACAATACAAACTTCCCAGACCAGCTGTCTGGACTTCAGACAGCATTGTTATGATTCTCAACTCATTGAAGGTCTTATTTATACTTTGTAACTCTATAAGCTGTTAAGTTCTTCCAAGCCAGGGCTTACGTTGGCCATCCAGGAAGCTTCCTCAGCTTGACTTCACTTGGATCAGGAAGCATTTGTTTGAAGTTGTACATAGTGATAAGTCATTGTACATTTCAAAAGGTTTCTATGGTACTAAAATTTTGTTTTATTTTATCAGATATTAAAGTTTTTTAAGAAAATAACTGGACAGCAAAATAAAATTATCTTTTTGTCTCTGGAGAGTTATTTGTACCTTGAAATTTCTATTAGCAAAATACAAATCTTGGCTGAACTTTGGAGACAATGCATAAATACAAATAGATTCAGAAAGAGCTTTGCTGAGCAGGTAGCTGACTGTGGACTCTGTCTTCTCTCACTTTATAGTTTCTCCCTACAAAGATGTTCGTTGCCCCACCCACTGCAAAGAGCACATGGCCATGTCAGGAGACCTTTTTGGTACCTGGCTGGGCAGGTGGGATGGATAGTACTAACAACATCAAGTAGATCCATTGCTAACTGATGACTAGGTCCCCACAGCCACGGCTCGTCCAGCCAGCATACCATATTCAAGTTTGAGACACACGTTATTCACTTTATTGTCCCTCAGTATTCTGTAGCACATAAAATTTAGCAAGCTCCTCACTGCGGTTCTGATTTTATTAAGTTAGAGGACTGGAAAATAAAGGCAAACGTGAATCTGCAGTAAGTCCTGGTTGCTGATAAAGGGTCTTCGCCGTGCATGAACGTCCTGAGCGCCATCCAGGCGGTGGTGATGCACACTTTCCGTCCCAGCCCTCGGGAAGCAGAGGCAGGCGGGGCTACAAAGCTGTTACAGAGAGAAACCCTGTCTCAAACAAAAATTAATATCTAGAAATTCTATTTAGAGACCAACGCATTCTATTTTCCAATAAGCTACCATAAGATAGACCCCCCATGTGAACCCTTAAATGTTTTTGTTTTCAAGAAAGGGTTCATTTGTGTAACAGCTCTGGCTGTTCTAGAACTTAATTCTGTAGACCAGGCTGGCCTCCAAGTCACAGATCCACCTGTCTCTGCCTCCCAAGTGCTGGGGTTAAAGGTGTGCGCCACCACCACCCAGCGTTAAATGTCATTTTTTTTTTTTTTTACAGAGCCTATGCTTTTTTTTTTTAAACTAAGGCCTAAATAGCATATCTAGCATATTTCCTGTTTCAACAACAGTCTATTCAGTTTTTCAAGAGATTTGTGGGCTGGGAATTGGAATCATTTGGCAACAGCACAGAATTTACATGAGACTTGATAGTTACTTAAATAGTCCACTTAGATCTCACTATGATAACTTGGTTGGTAACAGTGCACATAACAAGCTTGTGGGTGTGTTCCATGCATCCAGTGGAAGACAGCAGAAGGATTGCCAATCCTAACCTCCATTGCTAGGCCTGAAGGTAGGTTCCTAGCTTTGGGAGGTGTTATTTTCTAGCCCCAGCTTATCAAGCATTTCTTCCTAATGACTCAATTGCTGCAGAATCTGGCCTCGTTTCTGCTGGTGAGGCGGGAAAAACGTGCATAGCATAAGAGTAACTGAAATACAGCCGTTGCATTAGCTCCGGATTCCGATTTTCTGCTGCCTGAGATGGGTGGTTTTGCAATTCAGTCTGTTGATGCAAAACAACTTCTACTTCAAAGGTCTTAAGACAATTTATTCTGGAGCCAAATATGAGTGATTGTATCTCGGAAATACAGATTTAGATTACCCCCAATTCCATGTATTTATGAGGTTTTTTATTGTAACAATAAAAGTTGTAAATCAAGGTGCCTTTCAAATACTATGAAAATGAAAATCAGAGAAATCTCAATTGTGAGCCTCATGCATCCATTGTCTTGGTTGGTTAGAGTAGGGTTTTGTTAGGTTAATAGATCCCAAAGGTATTTTTAAAAAAAATCTGTTAGTCACGGGATGTTAGACCTGAAACAGGTGGGTGAGGAATGGCCATCTACAAGATAGATAAGAAAGTTATAATGCCCCTACCTGCACCATGCTAACGCTTCCACACGCTGAAATTCTAATTCGCCCACCAACTTTGGGCTCAGCTGGCTTTCTCGGGATTCTTGGTCACACCTCTACAGCTCCATTTTTATTTCTTATTTTTATTTTTTTTTTGAGACTTTTTTTTTTATGTTATAGTTCCAGCTATCCTGGAATTCACTCTGTAGAGAAGACTGACCTTTGACAGAGATCCGCCTGCCTCTGTCTCCTGAGTGCTGGGATTAAAGGCCACTATGTGCCACTATGGCCTTGCAGCCCCATTTTTTTTTTTTTTTTAGGAAAAGTACCTTGAGCATCAGTCAATGAGGTGTAAGTGCCCATCACATCCAGCACTACAGAGGCATAAAAAATACAGTACAGAGTCCATTCTTGAACTGTTTTCATTTTTCTGGGCAGTGGTGGATGGTGCACACCTTTAATCCCAGCTATCAGGAGGCAGAGGCAGGCGGATCTCTGTTTGAGGCCAGCCTGGATGACACAGTGAGTCCCAGGACAGCTAGGGCTACACAGAGACAGCAACAGAAAAAAATACCAGTTTTCATTTAATTGAAAAAGAAAATTCAAGTGATACCTAGAAAGATAGATAACTCAGTGCTAGAAGAAAGTTCAACTAGAGCAAAGTGATTGATCATCATCAACTGGAGTTTAGCTGCAAGAGTTCTTAAGAAACCACTCAGAGGAGACTGACAGAGAGGAGGTGAATGGGCTGTCCAGAGTTATATAGGGATGTCTCCTGACAGATCGGCTCATGAGGATGTGGAAGCTAACTTCTGTGACCTGCTGACTGTAAGCTCGAAGTCTGAGAAAGCCAGTGCTATAATTCCAATCCAAAGCCAAGCTGGAAAACCCGTGATGTGAGTCCCTTGCAGTCTGAGAACAGGGAATGCCAATGACCTGGACCAGAGAGGATGGCTGTGTACTGATTCAGAGTTTCAGATGCTAATGCCTTCCATTCCTCCTTCCCTCACCTCCCCGAGCATCTTTAGAGATGGGAAAGTGTTTGGCCAGCTCTCTAGGCTTTTCTGTAGCCTAATAAAGTTGACACAAAGTCAGCACCCACTCATTACTGCGGGAATATAGATGCGTAATAAGTTGGGCTCAGAGCATTAAGTTCTAACAAGGAAGTAATGTCTGCCACCTGCTATGTATGAACTACATATGAACTTTAAAGTTTACAGCACAGGTTAGTGGGATGCTGATGCCTCTGAGCCAGCCTGCTCCAGACTCTGGGATGTACTAGTGCCACTTAGATAAGTTTATGTTTAAATTGTCTCCAATTTTTGACCGAATTCTTTCATTTAAGAGAACTAAGGAGAAATCTTTTATCTCTTTACAATGACATTATTCCAAATATGAATTCATGGTAGAAAAAGCAGAGGAGCAAAGTCCTATAAAGGGATATCAACTGACAAGGAGCACAGGGAACTTGCCGGGTTTTATAAATACTCTGTACTCAGGCAGTAGTCATGGAGACATGCACAGGAAAAAAAAAGTCAAACCCTAAAGCCAAACAGTTAATATTTGTGCTTATTCTTTGAAGCTAGGCCTCAATTAAGAAGAAAAGTATCTTCTCATGCATTTTTCTTTCATGCATTATAATTCATTGATCAAAGATGGGGTCAAATTTCATTACTAGTATACGGAAGAGTAGAGATTAAAACACAAGTCTTCTGGCTCTAAAATCTTGCCACACAATCCAATCCAAATAGCTTTCAGAAAATGTTGAGTACAATCTAAAGCCTTTCAAAGAAGAGGAGGAAACAGTTGTGTTTCACAAGAATTAAGCTCTGTGTGCTCAAGAGGAAATGGGAAAGTCAAGACAGAAGGAAGGGCGAACTTCACTATCACTAGTTCGAGGAAAAGGCAAGTTGGCAAGCTTTGACCTTCGGTCTTAGTTGGGACGGATTATAGCACAAGAAGAGAAAGGGCCAGACAATGTGGCCAGATGGCTGTCCCCGGGCCATATACTTGGGCTACTGTGAAGTATATAGGAATCTTGACAAGGTATATACAACATCAGCTGAAGGTCAGTTATTCCTGGGCTTGGTGACATTTCCTTGTTATTAGGAAGGTGTGTGTGTGTGTGTGTGTGTGTGTGTGTGTGTGTGTGTATGTGTGTGTGTGTATAACAGCAGAGCACTTCTGGGAATAATAACATTTGAGGGAATCAGGCTATATTTAGGTGAATCTAATTGTTTCAGGGGAAGGGTTCCTACATTCTTAGCACATGTCCACCTGCTCATAAGAGATACCCTGAAGAGTAGTTCACTTGGCAGCCTGAGTTTGACACAGGCCAGAATAAAATCACCGTAGAAGAGAGGGCCTGAGAGCACATGATCCCACCCAATCCCATTCATTGAGCAATCTTGTTAGCTCAAATATAGGAGACTGGAAGAAAAAAACCTATAATTTGTGTTCTGGTTGCAGGGGAAAACTGACTGCCTTTGAAAAGAAGACTCTTGAGAGACTAGCTGCCTTGCTTATTGGCTCATTCTCAACTCAAAGATTTGCATATTCAATTGAGATCCAATTAAAGGTTAAACATACTCTTTCAATAGCATTTATCAATCGAAAGCTATGGCGAGGGGCTTGTAATTTGATTCTTTTGTTCTTAAATATGAACTTTGTAGATGATAATATCATGTCTTAATGTCCATAAAATTGGATACATCTGTGTATGGGGCTTTTTTTTTTTTTTTTTTTTTTTTAAAAAACTGTCTGGAATCCTCTACAATGTAGCTGTTGTCTTTCCCCCAAGACTTAATCTACTTTTTTTATGCCCAGCTGCCAGGAGGACTAGTGTAAAGAAAACTTGAGGTTAATAATGTGAGGGTATCAGACCCAGTATGGTGGTGCCCACCTGTAATTACAGCCCCAGAGAAATGGAGGCAGGAGGATCTGAAATACACAGTGAGTTTGGAGCGAGCCTGATACATAAAGCCCTGTCATGAACAAAAATAAAATATGAGGGTAATATTGGAAGTCCTGAAGCAGAATGTATTTGGCAGGCTTGATTCTTCACATCTTCTGACTGTGTTATAGACTATTTCCTGTGAGTTAGCTGTGTTGTTCCCGCCCCCACCCCAGTTCTGTTGGCAGGCCATGGTTCTTTGTGGCTTTTGCGGAAGAGCTACGTCTGAACAGCAGAGGGCAGTATAAACAAACGCTTAGATGAATAGTCGCTCAGCCTTGGACCTAGAACCACAGGGCTTTGGC